ACTTCATTTCGAATTTGTCTCACCGGCGTTTAAATAGTAAAAACTGCCAATAGCCGCTGTGTAGCAAAATATTACGGCCCATTTCAAACGGGTCGTCTAACAGAAACTGGAATAGTGTAGAACTTCGCAGTTTACCGGGGATTGCGAAAAACTGCGTCATATATACAAAGTATTTTTTTAAAGGTTTGAAGAAAGGTAAATTTAGACTCAACCCACCCAATGGCGGTCGCTATGTTTATATAAATGTATGAATATCTCATTAGCTTTACTTAATCCATTGAGCCCCTGCTTCAGTGGGTAGTATCTAATATATTACGTCGAATCAAGGGCTGTGTGATGATTTATTCAAAACAAAACGAGTTGTTGTTTTTAGTCGTGTCAAATGGATAAAATAAATTGAAATGCATGGTAATTTCGAAACAGTAGTTCGTTATTTCATTGAACGAACTAGGTGCTATGAAATTAACGAGTGTAATTTATGACAATTTAATAAATCAACAGGAATAAAGTACTTAATTAATTAATTAACAGCTTACGTTTAAATGGCGCAGTCGAGTGCATCCACTCGCTATATATTCCCCAATCTGACATTCGTAATGAGAATAAGCTGAAATTTGAAGGTTACGTATTTCTTGGTAAATGACAGCCAGCTTTTCATTCCACAGACCTGCACGTAGCATCAGCTCACAGGTCAGATAGCGCCCTTAGTGTTTATCAGTGACCGCCATACCGCACTCACAGTGGACTTTACGTTATCATATCTAAAATTCTAAACAAGAGTTCAAGGACCTCATCATGTTAGAGCCGCACACAATGGTTCTCTGGTTTCTATCCGAGTTATTTTCAGTATTTGTAGAGGTCTCTCCAATTTGTTTCGTACAGAAACACTATTTCACAAAATAGAACTCACTACAACAGTGATGTACTAGTAAAATGTAATTTAATTCTTGATAACATGCTTAATGTTAGATTTGTTTCTTTCATAATTATCATAAAATCATTACTAACTAATTTCATAGACGTTAAGTTTATACTTGAGGAGGTTGTGTAATTCCTGGGATGGTTGAAACGCATCGAAAGACTCTAAGAAGTCGAAGTTAGTAATCGCTCAACGCAATCAAATTAAAACTCGCATTCATTCTTGCTACTTTGACACGTGACTTAAAAACCCCAGTGCTATCAATGAATTAGTAGAATATCATCATTTAAAAATACAGAAATACGTACATGTTGGCACGTTATGATCAGCCTCTAAAACGACACCAGTTTATTATTGCTGGATTTCGGAAAATGGTTCAAATTATCGACCGAATTTGACAAACGTTATGATCCCTCTGAGATATGAAAAATATAATGAATATATGTTTAAACATTTATCATTATAATTATTAGATTTATTAGCAAGTGTTATAATGGTAAACAAATATATTTTAAATCTCGTGGCACGGGATGATAGATTCCTAACTTTTGAATGTCGTTTCGGAATTTAACAATATCAAGATTTCCATGGAGTCTCGCGTTTGGTCGCATGATTTATCATTGTTGATATAATGAAAGCGAGTTCGCCTTTTGTTTTAACGCTAAAACCGTAAACAAGACACAATTAGCGAGCCCTGAGATGATGAACAAATTGGAAATATAGTCAGCTCTCGAATTGTTAGTTGGTCAGTCCCTGTTAACAGTGACTTTGATATTGGAAAATATTCTACTAAACGAGTCAAATAAGGGATCCATAAAACAGGATATCCATATCTGCCATAGTCGCTGTAACCAGTTGATAGATATGAGCCAGGCTTTAGTGTATGGCACCACGTACCAGACGTGCCAGAACGTCAAACAGGCAAACTCGATACCTGTAATTAGATAAAACATTACGCATCGATTACAAGGTGTAACGGAAAGCAATGTTTGCGATGTTACAGCCAAGATCGACATATGCATGTATACATACGACGAGTGACTTACGGCATGCTGTATCACGTGACATTTTCCCGAAGTACGCCATGGAATCGGCGATCTTGTTAGTTGCCAGCCTCGTTCGCAGCAATACTCACTAAAACCTTCTAGCCCTCGAAATCAAAATCCTTCATTTGTACTCACCCCAGCACACAGCGCATGGTATGCCACAGATACATGTAGTAATACGGTAACACCAGAACTTGACACCAGTAAACGTAATGAATGCATACCTCCATATTGCATCAAAACTATGCATCCCTTCTGGCTCGGCAAATACTTCTTCAAAAGCAACCTGGAAGATATGAAGGTAATAATTCATTATGCTTAGCATTGTGGGAAATATGGAGGTAAGCAAGTGTGTCGATGTCTTAATTTGAATAGCCAAGATATTCAATACAGTCAGTAATGATAAGTTGGAATTACCATTATCGAATATTTATTGAATACTTCCGAAATAATATTATTTGTAATATGTTTATAAGTTTATTGTATTTTGGTTGATGAAGGCATGCATTGCAGAACTAGGCCCTACAACCAAAGACGAAAACTAACGAGCCTCTTTAACCCTGTCAAGAACACTCACATATTCACAGTAACAACGGATTTTCTTTTTGTTTATTAACTATTTCAGTTGCTTTTGGTGATGGAATATAAAATTTTACCCAAGTTTATGTCTGTGTTTTTTCGTTCGGTTTGAAGTTAGTGATCAGTCCATATCACATGATAGTATGGCTGCCTTAGTTCAGTTCTAACGATCGAGTTGCATTTGCTTGTATAGAGACATGCATAGAGATCAACAAATTTGCATATGTCCTTGTATGGGCGCGATTTGACGTATCACGTTATATTTAATGGTTCACAATGCAATCCACTGAACAACGATCTTTCCCATTTCTGGAAACGTGCGGAAGGCCTGGACCATAATTCTGGGGTGACTAGGATTACTTTCCGGTCAGATTAATATTTGTTACAATGGGTCATTGCAATTTTGTTCGACAAAATGGACAGATCGTAGACAGCCCTTCTTGTAAAATGCATTTCTCAATGTGTTTGGCCCCAAATATCCTTTTGTTAATTCCAACCTTTCACCCATTTCCCAATCATAAGATTCCCGTCTTGTTGTCAACTAAAAATCACTTCCATCATGCAGCGTACATGTGTGTATTCAACGGGAAACATAACACGTGAAAGAAAAACTATAATCGCAATATTATTTAAAATATCTAATTTAACATTTATTCCACATTGTGTAACATATTGTGTGAAACATGGCGAATAAGTTCTGAAAATCGTAAATAAATGTTAAAAATGTAGGTAAACAAATAGCAACTGAATATTATTTGAAAAACAAAAAACTGTTTGTCGTAGTTCGCCACAAGCCACTCTTCTCGGTGATGTGATGAACTATTGCTTGGTCATCGTTATTTTGATATTCGAAAAGAATCTGCTGCAGGAGTCGTACTGTGGATCGCAGTAGCACTTGATGAATATTTCCCAGAGCTTTTGGAAGTAGTAAATAAGTATGAGATACGCCTTTGTGCATGGAACAACATACCACACGTGCCAAAATGTTAGGCATGCGTAGTTGATACCTGGAATTGACAGAGAAGAAAGAGATATCAGACATACAGAGAAAAGACTGAATGTGGGCAACAGTAGGCGTTGCAATCTGTGAATACGTATTTGTGTGATTTGAATAAAAAGACGCGTGATGTGCGCCCTCTGCCGATTACTGTGAAGCTTGAAAAATTGGTTAGATGTTGTCATCTGCAAAGGACGTAATTCGAACACATACGACAGCTGATAATATGTTATTATGAGTGCAAAGCGTGTGACATCCATCGAAATTAAATGGACAACAATATCATGAAATTGTATCTGATTTATGTTGTCACTAAAGATCTGAACACATCGTATTTTCTTCTTTTGAAAGCAATGATCAAAAATAATTTTGTAGACAAAATTTGTTTTCAACTTTTTGTCCTCGGCAACGACCGACATCAAATCGATTGGTATACGTATTACGAACTGCAGTAGAAAGCAGTTACTCCAATTGTTAGAGTAACTGCCAATGCGGCGGTGTGGCCCATAAATATATAAGAAATTACTTAAAGATGTGATAACTGTGAATGCAAGTGAAAACAAACATCATCAAAAATCGTATGGTATCAGTTTTAAGTAGAAATATATATGACGGATTTCATGACACAATTGGCCCAGCTCTCGATACGGAAAATTCCGAATATTTTATCATTTATTATTATTTGTAAGTGAAATTCAGAACATTCATTCACACTCGTATATGTTACCGCTTACCCCAACAAAAGGCAAATGGAATGCCACATATCGCTGACAGAATCCTATAACACCAGAATTTAGTACCAGTGAAACATTTGAAACTCCACCGCCATATTGCGTCAAAGCTGTACATTCCTTCTGCCTCGGCGAAAACTTCTTCGAAATGAACCTGATATGAGAGATGAGATGTGTTAGCGCCCTCGCAGTCTAGTAAGTGAGTTACGTCTGATGCTCTATGTATAACACACAAAACATCAATGTTTAAATAATATTTATTTCGATTCTACATTTGGCCTCGTTTAATACAAATACCCACAGTGCATCACAGACTAAGGTGATCTATATTATATCATATTCCATGTTACATACATTATGTTATATACATTATGAAAAGTAAATAGGCAAGAACATGGATGAAACACGTGTATGAAATGAACGTATTATGGAATACTCACATGATGTGGATCACTTCTGGAAATGTTGTGAGTTGACAATGAACTTGAATCTCGTGTATAATCTCACATGTACATGATTAATTCGAACATACGGACACTTTATTGACAATAACAAAACCACGTGGTACCATCGATGCCATCTAGTTCACGAATTCGCGCGCATGTCGCCATCTTTTCGAGTCTAGAAATACATTCAGTGCTTTTATTGCGGATTTATTTATTTATATTTGGTAGTTCTTGACATAACCCTAACATTTCTTTGACATAACCCTAACATTGCACAGTAACCATGGTAACTAAAATATCATGTTTGTCATATCATGGTGAAAATTTGACCGTGACCGTGACTGTCAAGCACATATGTCTATCTCACCAGTCACCATGACTACCGATAAGTACACGCAATTAATAGCATCGCATGGCAGATGATGCATTATCTATTGTGTTACGGACAACATCTGTGTGACCCTTGATCCGCGGCTAACAAACGAGACAAAAATGACGTCACTAATGATGGATGTAATAATAATAATGATGATTACAATAATATCACTGCACTTAATGAGCATAATCTAAGTTACAAACGTGATTTTCATTAGGACCATGAATCATAAAAAATAAACCTTTCAAATAAAGAATATGTAAATGACAAGGAAAACAACTCATAAATTAGTCAAGGCTGCTACAATTCGTTTGAACATTGGTGAAAATGTATTTCTTCAATTTCATTTTAAAGGAATATTCACTTGTACATGTGTTAATATCGGCGGGCAATGAGTTCCAATGAGCTCGGCAATGAACATGATGATGGCCACGTGACGCTAAGCGATGACTATCATAAACTGCACTGATTTATCATTTTAATTATATGAATTTATCTTTCATGAGATATGGGAATGTCACGATAAGGGCAAAATAATTATTTATGATTGTTGAAAGGGTCATATGTTAGAGTTGGCTGGCGCAGCAGCGATGTAAACTATATCAACCAGGTGTACTCATAGTTTGATATAAACCACAATCAGCTTTCAGTAGCTTTGTGCTAATACTTCAGACAATATAGGGGGTGAAGTACACAAGAAATATTAGAGCGTGGGTGTTAATCTCAATGGATCGATATTTGTGGACATTTTCATGTTTCATTTTGATATAAAATGTATTTGTCTTGTCGATGAGTGCATATTGTGTTGGTAGAAAAGGTCAATTAAGGTCATCTGATATATCAATTATATGTGGGTATCAGTGAACAGCACTACTTAAAACAGAGCACTTGGAAACAACAATATTTTATTTATTATCTGTACGTAGTACTACGTTGTTTCAACGATAAAAGTACATTGATCTCTAATTATTATCATCTGATATCACGTGTTCGAAGAGCTGGTTGATATGAGTAATGTTAGCGGGTTTTTTTTAAATAAAATTTAAGTCATCATTATTACGAGTTACTGTTATTGCACGATGCATTTAATTGTTGTTATTCAGTTCTTAATTTCTTATATCACAGCGACAATCTTCCGGGCACCCCCCTTGATTTCAAATGGTCGAACCCTTATACAGTTCGATGAGTGGTTTGTACGGTTTCATTAAACACGCACTAAATGTGTGCTATATCGACATAGATTTAACCACTTAATGAGTACCATCTCCTGGTAGGCCTGTTGGTTTATGCTCCATTCGAATAATTAGTTTCATTAGCGCACCGAACTTGGTTTAAGGGTCGCATTAGAGTTACTTACAGTTATATACTAGTATGTGCTGGGGTGGATACTATGTATGCAACTGCAGAGTATTCACGAATGAATACTAGAAAATTAGATGCATATATC